CTGTTAAAAATCGAATGATTACAGAAGAGAGAATTGATGATATGATTATTCGAGTTTTAACACCTTATTATCTTCTCGGACAAGATCAAGAATATCCATCACTTAACTTAGATCGGAATGTTGTTGAAGATCATTACAAGATTAATCGAGAAATTGCTACTGCAGGCATTATTTTACTTAAGAATACAAACAATATTTTACCATTCGATGTTACAAAAGATAAATATTATTTTATTTATGGATCAGCAGCAGGTCAACCTGATAAAGATTTCGATTCAGGATATTCGTCAAAACATTCAGGTGCTTTATATCAAGGTGGAGGTTCAGGCTTTGTTCAACCAACATATGCTATTGATCCTCTTACTTCACTTTTAATTAAAGGTCGAGATTTTCATTTTCAAATTCGATATATTACTAACCAAAATGATTATGTTGCTATTAATAAATCATTCAATCATCGTCACTTTGCTACTGGTAAATGTCTTGTTTTTATTAGTGCTTGGTCTTCAGAAGGATTCGATAGAAATGATCTTCATGCTTTAAATAATGAGGATAAACTTGTTCAAACTGTTGCTTCTCGTTGTGCTAATACTATTGTCATCGTCAACAGTGTTTCACAACTTAATCTTGAAAGTTGGATTGATCTTCCCAATGTGGTTGGTGTTATCTGGTCAGGTATGCCTGGATCAGAATATGGACCAGCTATTGTTGACGTTCTTTTTGGAAATTATAATCCAGGAGGCAAACTTGTTTTTACACTTGCTAAAAATGATTTTGATTATGGTACTGATATTAGTCCAACATACCATTCCAATTATAGTGAAGGTGTTTTCTTAGATTATCGTCATTTTGATAAATATAATATTCTACCACGATATTATTTTGGATATGGTCTGTCATATACAACATTCTCCTTCTCTAAACTTCATATTGTTAAAACTGTAAAAGGTAAACATAAGGCTTCATTACATTATCGACAACATCGAATAAGAACTTATACTAATATTGCTACTTCGAAACTTTATGAACCTGTCTACGAAATAACATTTACTGTCACTAATAGTGGTGAAGTTTATGGTTCAGAAGTACCTCAACTCTATCTTGGATTTCCGGATGAAGCAGAAGAACCAGCAAAAGTATTACGAGGTTTCGAACGAGTGTATTTAGCAGCAGGTCAATCGAAACAAGTTTCATTGATATTAACAAAAAAGGATATTTCATACTGGAATGTTATTAATCAAAAATGGACTGTTGCTCCTGGTACTTATACAGTTTCGATTTCAACATCTGCTAATAATGATGATATTAAACTTCAAACTACTTTTAATATAGAGTGGCAAAATCAAAAAATTAAAAAAGAAAAATTTATCTCTCAAAATCGGGAAAACATCAGAATGTTTTTGTGTGAAATGATAAAAAAAATTGAAAATTCATTTTTATCGTGTTAAGACACCCACTCGATTATCCTCATTGTATTATACTTTGCTTTTTCTTTTTGTTCATTTGTCCAGACGCTATCAAAATGATATTTGTTATCGTATCACATCTTTATTTATCTATTTAGTTTGTTCTTTTTTTCTTTTCACTATTGTTCTTCTTTGATATATATGCATTTGTGATGTTACAGGCAATTGATTTTTTCAAATACAAAGATTATGTTCGTTTTAAAATCGAACTCAAAATGCATTTACTCTTAAACGATAGGAAAGAAGAAAATAACACATGTCTTTGTGGAATTGTGACAATAACCTGTTCTCTAAGTTGTTTGACTTGATGGGCAAACATTTGAAAATATAAATAATAGATTTCACAGCAGCTAGAATCATCTTTTTTTTTATTATATGTAACTAATCAGAAAAAAAGGTAATTATAATAAACCAAAAAAATACATTAGATTAGTAATCACTCGAGCTTTCGACCATTTTAGTCGTCATTATCTAGAGAACTTGTAAAACAGAATAAGATAGAAACAAGCAAAAGAGAGAATATATGGGTGTGGGTGTGGACCCACACCCACACCCTAAATAACGGCTTAAAATGTAGTGGTAATTTTAATGGAATATTCGCATTAGCACATAAACGTCTTCTTATTATTATGTGACCGTCGCAAATAATTGCTGCACAACATTCACCTCTATCATCACCACCTTTGCAAGGATAAAATGAACTGTACGAAGACCACAACTCGACGAACATTTTATAAAAATGATCATAATTCAGCATGATAAATTTATCCAATTCAGTGCTTATATTTCGTGGTAAGAATGCACTACATTGATTTTTAAATGGTGCTTCAGTTTCCATAAACAGCTGGTATTCAATCAGTGCATAGATAATAAATATTCGTTCAAATAATCTTCGATCCATATGATCACGCAAGTCATCATTTAATTGATTGAAAGCATAAGTGAATGTATTAAATGTTACATAACCAGCTCTAAAAAAGGTGCCTAATTATTTTATAACATTGATCTATGGAAAATCATTTTCGTTTTAAGGCCCTATTTTTCCAACAAAGATCGACGCTATAGTTTCTTCGGTGACTATTTTCAAGTTTTAAGTTAATCTTCCAAAAGATATTACTAAACATCAGTGACTGAAATGTTTTTTTATGACCTAAACTCATGAACATTATTCATTGCCTGGCATAAAACTATAACCTTCCATTAAAGTACTTAATCAGTTGCTTACTTTATTTCATAAGCAATCCAACTTACTGTTTCCATGATACATGCAAAAACTAGTGACTCAATCTATATCCACAGAACGATCAAGCGTATGTTTACTTCCTGTATATACTACTATTTGTCTGACAAAAGCGATCCACAAGTACCGACCATGATTAAATTTTATTGGAACCTATTGCCATTTGAGATGCAGCGATCACCTCACACTGGCAAACTAGTTTCATATATAATGAATTTCTCATGCTCCTAAATGCGTATTATTTGCTCATGTTAATTATTATGCAATTATTATCATAAATTTTTGTTTAGCTTAGAGCATCTTAGCCGATATTTCGACTTGATCTCACGTAAAAGAAAAAAAGATTTATAGATCACGAACAGTCGCCTATTTACTTAAGGTATAACAAGAATCAAGCAAGTTTTTAATTTTTCTGTCGACAAAAAAATTTTATTTGTTAAGCACGGTGAAATTTTTTAACCTCTATTAAGTTTTTATCAACTGTCTTTCTTACAAGAGTTGTTCGAAAACTCACAAAATCTCAATTATCAGTACATTATCAATATGTTTTATCAAATTTGAGTGCTGAGCACTAAATTTCTGGCTAAACTGAGCTGGACTAAAACATTAACTATACTTGCTTAGCAAAACTACTTCGCAATTATTTCAAATTCACTGTTTAACAACTCTTATCTATTTAAATAAATAATACTAATTGTTAAATTACTTACGCTAACAAACATGAATATTGCTTTAAAATTATTCTTTCAATGCTGTTTTTTCACACAGGTACACAGATGTTTCATAACTAAAATAATCATTTGTTATAAACGAATATAAATGATCATTAGATAAATTGGTAATGAAGTTTGGATGAATTTCCAAATAACATTGCTTTGACTTGAATATGTAGCGTACAACCGTTGCTGATTTTGAAATTCTATTAGCAAGATAGAGTGTGGGTGTGGGTGTGAGAGGGTTAAGTGAATAGCCACGCCCACGCCCACACCCACATCCTTAGCTGTCGTATGCTTCCATCTCTATCGCTCTCCAGTTTGTGAATAAACACTACACTACACACACACACACACTAGAAACCATGTTTAACATGGTTAAAGCCCAAAGATGACCTTATCCGTTCGTTTTCTTTTTGATAGTTAATTAAGTTCATATAAGATTAGTTACATCATTGCAAACAGTCTCAAAATAAATAATGAAGATAGACAAACTTTCTTGTCAGCAACTCAATGAATAAGACAAATTTAATTTTTTCGTAATCGTTTGTACGTAGGGACCCGAAAGCGAATCATGTATTACTACAAGAGACACGAAGCGAGTGTATCATATCGATACGATTGGCATGGGTTAGGGCGATGACATTCATCAGATTCTGTTCTTTCCTAATTAAGAAGTTTCTTGAAACGTAGTTATCGATCGTTTCATAAAAGACTGATGTCCACTAGCGAATAGCGCGTGCCGGGTCACCCACAACGCCAGCTTGAACAAGATTCATTTTGATCTGCCCTTCACCTGTCGTGTAGTTTAATGGGCAAAAGCGTCGAAGAAGTGGAACAACCATGCCGAGAAGTGTCCTATCATTGGAAAATATTTTTCTAATAATTTCATCATGCAGCCACAATCAAAACCGATAATTAGGTGATCGAAAGGCTCCTCGGTCAACATAGAGAAAATAGTTGCTGTTATATAGATTAAACTCAGCACTTCGACTTATCATGAACGCTTTAGCATACTAAGTAGCATAGATCTCAACCGGATGATATCCACACTCTGGATCGGTTTTATGTTGTAGTTCGAAAGTGGGTAGAAGGGATCGAGCGGGAGGCATTTGTAAAGGTGTTGAATAGTCAACAATAAAATATGATGCTAACAAGCCGTTTCAACGAAGCAAATAGCGGATCGGTTGATACTCAACAGACGTAAATATGATCATGGGTGACTGGCCATATCCGAGTAGGTTCTCAAACCACAATAGATACTTAGCCTGAGTATGTTTTGACTTTTTGAGAGGAAAATAGGCTATGACAATGGTCATAAGATTATCATGGCTGTATTTCGTGAATGAATGTTTCGAATGCACAATTGAGAGAGGTAAAAGCGAAATATGTTGAGATTCTTTTGCCAATGAAAATATGATGTCTGCAACGATGATCAATAGACAAATAGAAGTGCATCTAAATAATCTATTCTTAACCATCGTCTAAAATAAAGAGAATACAGTTATTTTTCTGTAAAACTTCGGCAAAACATAATATGACATGCAAATGAATCATTTTGTGTTGTTCAAAAAAGAGAACCAAGATGGAAAGTATGCATCTCGCGTACAATCGGCATCGAGTGGACTAAAATCAGGTTTCGAGTCAGTTAATATTTCGCCTCCTCTGTTGTTCAGAACAGCTCCCCACCATCCAAATGTTCCTACAGTGATGATTACATGATCACATAAAGTGAGAACAGCCAAGTCGTCGGCGGCACCAAATGAATTCGGTGTAAAAATAACATCAGTTCGGTTACTAAACAGTCTTCGACAGTATAATTTGTCATCTGTTACGATAATAAAACGAACTAAACGATATTTTTCTACAAAATGAGTCATTGCATTTAGTATGTACTTGTCAGATGAACCACGTCGCACTAATAAAAAGTCTCCTCGTCGTATATGTATTCCTACC